AACTTGCAACACCTGCAAGGCTGGAGCAGAGGCAGTGTTCGACATGGTGCTCTCGCCTTGGCGCCGCCCCGATGCGCCTCCAAAGCTTGCATCAACAGCTACAGTAAAGGACGGCTGCGGTTCAAAGTGCGGCGCCCGCTCGAGTTCTACTTCGCCAGCATGCACCACATGCCGAGCACATGTAGCCGCTGCACGGATGGAGGGCGGCTCCTGCTCAAGTGGGGCGCTCGCCGGAGGCATCCGCTGAGTTCGTGGCCCGACGCCCCAGGAGACGGATCGGCGCCCAGAGGACGCCGCCGTTGTCAGGGCCCCCTCTCACGCTGACGGCAAGGCAGTGGTCATGGGAGGCCTGCCTGGCCAGCGCATTGCAGGGAACGTGCGTGGATCATCTGAAGGCCTGGCGGCCAAGCTGTTTCGCGTCCCCGAGGCCCCACGTACACGTGTCCCCCAGACGGAGGCCGAAGTCAGGCTTATTCGAGAACACCTCTTAAGAGTCACCTTGGAAGTCATTGGCGCGGAAGGGAAAAAGGTTCGGCGCCCTGCTGCTGCTGCTGCTGCTGCTGCTGTTGTCCCTGTCCCTGCTCATCACCCTGCAACTGTGGCTGTCTCTAGCACTTGCCACGCCTCGCAAGATGGTGGCAAGAGGTGCCACGTGTGTCGAGGGTCAGCGTCTGATGCAGAAAGAACGCGTTGGCTTGACTCGGCATGCTGCGCTCTGGAAGAATGGTCGGGCCCTGCGTTGAGATTGCCCGCGCGGAGGCGGTTGCATCTCGCTAGGGGGTGGGTCCATGAGCCACATGGTATGGAATATTACGAATCTCTCGCCTTGTGGTTTTGCGGCTCGCGTGGGTACTACAGTGAACTCCAGTTGCAAGCTTTAGACTCTCAATGTGTGCCCATTTCGCGAGAACATGTCGACGTACTATCCAGACGATTATGGCCCAAACTTCTCAGCAAGGTTGAGAAGGCGGCTCGCTCCTTGGGTCAATTACTTTATACAAACAACTCGCTTTGCGACTGGTCTCATCTCATCTCACCTCCCCTACTCCTCCGCCTCCTCTTTCTGCTCCTTCTCCTCCTCCGCTTCCTCCACCCTTCCTCCAGGGGGCTGAAAAGCGATCAGGTCAGCATTGGGTTCCGAGGGAACTGTGTGAGGGCCACTGTAACCGCCCGAGCACAGGCCTGAACAATCATCCGCGGAACTGCCGCCTTGGGCGACAGTGAGTCAGGTCAGCACTCGGGTCTCCCCAGCATCACCGAAAGGTACTCGGCCGACCTGAACGCTGACTAAACACTTTCTCTGATCCCGACCCTCCCCCTCCTTCTCCTCCTTCTCCTCCTTCTTTCCACCTCCTCCTCCTCTTCCTGCTCCTCCTCCTCCTCCGCTCCCATCAATACACCAATCCACCATGGCACCAATAGGCACCGGAGGGGGCCGATGCCCTCCCTACGGTCCCTCGGCCAACGAAGACGGCCGTAGAGAGGGGTGCCAACGTACCTCCACAAACCTGACCTTAATACCGGAGGGCACCAATTGCCACCATAGAGTGCTTTCCTCTCTTTGTAGAGATCTCCAGGGATCCTGAAGTCCCCACCGGAGGTCCCCAGAGGCTTCCGAAGGTCCCTGGAAAGGATATGCCCAGGAAGGGCAAAAGCGCAAACAAATTATCCCAGTGCGCCCCTGCCTAGGAGTTGGAGCATCTAGGACAGCAACATATACATCTACACCGACAGCTACATTAATATCTACTACACATATGTCGCACATTGCTTTTGCTTAGCCTTTCCTTTGCGTTGCTTTTGCTTTTGCTTTGCTTTGCGTTGCTTGTGCTTTGCTTTGCTGTCGCTGCTGTTGCGTTGCCTTTGAGTTGCTGCTATGCTATGCTATGCTCTGCTCTGCTATGCTATGCTATGCTATGCTGCGCTGTGCTATGCTGTGCTGTGCTGTGCTGCGCTATGCTATGCTATGCTATGCTATGCTATGATATGCTGCGCTGTGCTATGCTATGCTGGGCTATGTATGATATGCGGTGCTGCGCTATGCTATGCTACGCTATGCTATGCTAGGCTGTGCTCTGCTATGCAAAAGCTCAGCGAAGCTACGATGAAGTTAAGTTAAGCAAATATAAACCTGAACTAAGCTGAAGCTAAGCTAAGATGAAATACACTAAGCTAAGATGAGATAAGCAACGCTAAGCTAAGGGAACGTCACTGGGGGAACCGCGGGGCGGATGCCAGGGGAACCGCCCGGGGCGGGTTCCACTGCCCGGCCCTTTAAGCAAACCGAGTAAGAACCCTTCTAGGCAGAGCCTAGGTAGGGAAAAAAACTCGATTCTTCACGATCCTCTCCCTCCTATCTCCTTTCGGCGGCGAGCCCTGGGGGGAAGGCTCCGAAGTCCCCTGGCCTTCCGAGAAGTTCCTAAGCCTTCCCCGAAGACCAACAAAACGTATCAGAAGGCTTGAGGGCTCCTGTGAAGTCCCGCCGCCTTCTGAGAAGACCTCCTTCTCACTTCCACCCCTCGCTCGCCGCCGATCCATGCCAAGACCTCCAGCGTCGTATTTCCTCTATGGGGTCCACCGATGTCTCGACCGCTTCCCAAATACTGTTGTTGTTCGTCCCGCACTGTTTAGTTGGCTCCAAAGCCAAAAAACAATGCCCAGACGCAGAAAGTCTACAGAACGAGGTCTGAGTACTTCTCCTCAAAATCGTCCCCTGGACCTCTCCTGGGGCATGAGATGCATTCACACCAAAAGGTTAAGGGGAGTCCGGCCGTGACGACGAGCTTCCCAGAGACCGGACAGAATAGAAAGAACCTCGACATTCTGGAGGGCGAATCCTGCTGCTGCTGCTGCTGCTGCTGCTCAGCCTCCGCCCTCTCTATCCTTCGCGAGAAGGGTCATGAACGCATCCTGGAAGCCCAGGACTCCCCTGGGAGCAGCGCGGCTGTTGGACGGCCCCTGGGCACGGGACAGGCCCCACGAGAGCGGCAACAGGACCTCCCACATCTCGGGGAGCGAAACAGATGCGATACCGCTACTCCCCCGGACCTCTCCTGGGGTGCGTTCTGACCAGGATTTCGAGTCGGATCCAGCGGTGGCGACGACGGAGGCCCAGGAGGCCCACAAAGGGGGAAACGAGGGGAGTGTAGGGGTTATGGGTACCTTTCCTCCTCTGAGTATCCCCTCTTTCTGAATGGCGACCCTCCCTTCTTTGGGTCACCCAACTTCGGACAGCATGGCGCCCCGACCCAGGTGCACACGCGCGCGATCCCCATCCGCAACCCTCGCGAGGCCACCTTGGAGAGGGGGGGGCAGCTCCGCGGCGGGCCAGGCCGACGCACGAGAGGCGCGGCACTCTTCGCCCCCGGGCGGGGGGACTCTCCTCTTCGGTGGCAACTGCGCATCATCATCATCATCATCATCATCATCATCATCATCATCATCATCATCATCATCATCATCAGCAGCATCATCATCATCATCACCATCATCATCAGCATCATCATCATCAGCATCGTCATCGTCATCATCATCATCATCGTCGTCGTCGTCATCATCATCAGCAGCAGAAGCATCAGCATCATCATCATCAGCATCATAATCATAATCATCGTCATGAGCATCATCATAAGCATCATCATCAGCATCATCATCAGCATCATCATCACAATCACCATCGCCATCACCATCATCACCATCACCATCATCATCATCACCATCACCATCATTAGCATCATCAGCTTCGTCACCTCCTCTGGCAACTCATGGGAGCCTCCCGTACCATCTTGTCGGCTCTTGCGTATCGACGCTAGTCGACGCTAAGCCGACGCTAAATAGACGCTACGTCGACGCGCCACCGACGCTAGTCGACGCTGAATCGGCACGTCTCATCGACTCCCAGAAGCTAATCGACGCCAGTCGACGCTAAAGACGGAATCAAGAGGGTACACCAAGCTCCCAAGATTTGCAACCTAGCTCCTCCTTGCGGGGACGCGCTGACCCGGGTGGGTGCGCAAACGCGGGCCGGTCGAGCTTCGCAGGATCTTGCAAGGTGCCGCGGAATCCTGCGCGCCAGCCCGGGTCGGTGCAACCCTCCTGGACAGCCGAAATGGGTACGGCGGGAAAAATGGGAGGAAGGCCAGAGGCGAGGGTGAGCAAAGCCGAGGGTGAACGAAGCCGAACATTGCCGAGCCTGCTGAACAGAAGCCAGAGTGCAGTCGACCCGAATAGTAAGGATGAGCAATTGTCCAAGGTTTCACATTATGCCCAACACCTGATGTCGTCCGGAACCGACAGCGGCCGCTGCTGGCCAGGCGGCCTTCTATCTCAAATGGGCCACGTCCGCGGCGACATCGACAGCGAATCCTCTTCAAAATACACAGGGTCTGCTGCAGGTCTTGGTACGCAGTCGTTCCGTGCCAATGTCGTCCGTGCCGAACCCTGGCTTTGCAAGATCCTGCAGTGAACGTTTTCTTATAGGGCGTTTCGCCATTGGGCGGAAGGGGGGGGGGAGGGGGGGTCTGGCTCCGGACCCCTGCTTAGAGCGACTCTTAGCAGCAGGGAGTCCCGTGGGGGAGACTCCACCTGCTCGAACCAGACGTCAAGAACAGCCACGATCCACTCCATGGGGGGAGGGGGGAGCGCGAGGGCCCGCGCCGATCGCCAAAACAGTGAATGAAAAGAACGATCACGATCCAGCGCTCTGGCCGACCACCGTCTGGGCGCCCGAATTATCCGGGGTAACTCGGGCCTGGGGTAACTCGGGTTCGGATTCCCGAAAAACGAACCCGAGTTAGCCCTGACCCGAGTTACCCCTGATGATTCGGGGCTTTGGACGCCCGAATTATCCGGGGTAACTCGGGCCCGGGGCAACTCGGGTTAGGATTCCCGAACAACGAACCCGAGTTAGCCCTTCCCAGCTACCCCTGATGATTCGGGGCTCTGAACCGTCTGCACTGAACCCCGCCTCGAGGCTCTCGGGGCGGAGCTGGGCCGGGCGCAGGTCCGGGGGCCCCGGCCTCCAGTCCGGGGCGGGCATGGTCGGGGCTGCGATGCCGTCTGCGTCCGCCTTCGGGCCGGGGAAGAGCAGGAGGAGGAGGAGGAGGAGGAGAAGGAGGAGGAGGAGGAGGAGGAGAAGGAGGAAGAGGAGGAAGGGGGGGCGCCGAGGGGAAGAGTCCAGGGCCAGGGGCCAAGGGCAGGGGCCAGGGGAAAGCCAGCGGGCTGGGGCCAATGGGGGGCCAATGGGGGGCCAGTGGGGGCCAAGGGGCCAGTGCCAGCAACAAACGGCGGAGGAACGGCCAAAATGAAAGGGCCAGAACCAGGGGGGCAGTGTGCAGAGAGTAGGGCCAGGGGCAGGAATCGTCCACGCGCACCGCGGACATGAGGAGGGAGGAGGAGGACCAGGAGGGGGACCAAATCCGTGAACAGTGTCAGGACGTGGATCCAACCTGCCGGTCAAACTCTTGGGACGACGCCGAGGGGTGAAATCCACTGTGGAATTCTTACCGATTGGCCGCTGTAGGAGGACATGGGGGGAGAAAGGGAGAGAAGATTGGCGACGGAGGCGCCCCGAGCGGGGCATCCGGGAAGAAGCGCCCCATATTCTGGCCCAGGGGCCCGGCCTGCGGGGTCGCGGGTGCGGATACAGCCAGGCTGCTGTCATAAGGAACGCCAAGTCAGGAAGAGCGCGTTTCTATATTTTCGGAAATAATGGGCGTTATGGGGGGGTGTAACTTAACGCCCCCCCCGCTGTGTGGCACCGGCAACACAGGAGCCTCTTTTTAATTTCCAGGATAGCGGCCATCATCGGCCCCGCCCTCCCCCCCTAGATGACGTCGCGTTCCGCGCTGGTGGCGTCCAGGAATGAATGCCCAGGGATGACTAAGGCCAAGGAGCAGTAGGTAAGTGGCGATCTGCCACACAACGCCTGTGTACACAACAATGCTCGCGTGCACGACAGCGCGAGTGTACACCACAGCGATTGCGTACACCGCAACAACCTTTTTCGGGGGGGGAGCAAGGCCCCAGGAGGACGGCGGTGACCGACGCCCCTTGCGCACGCCACTGGCGCGCGGAAACCCGCCGCCGACGACGCGTGGGCCGTCGCGGCTCGGGGCCGCCGCCGACAACGCGTGGGCCGTCGCGGCGAAGCCCGCCGCCGTCGACGACTCGTGGGCCGTCGCGGCACGGGGAGCCGCCGACGACGCGTGGACCGTCGCGGCGGGGCGCGCGAGCGGCGCCGATGAGTCAAGCGACTAGCCCAGCCGCGTGGCGGCGGCGGCGGCGCTCGGGAGGCCTGGTGCCTCGCCAGCGGCCGCGCCGTCGGCGAGGCGAGCCGAGGTGGTGGGGTGCAGACCCCGCATGCGGTCAGCCCGAAAACGTCGGATGCGCCCAGCCTCGCCCACGTGTAGGGCGCACTGAGCCGCTAAAGCTTTGATGCTGCCGAGGCGCTCCCTGGCGTAGGCGTGGCACCTCGCGCACAGCACGTAGCCGAAGGCACGCTGCACGATGTGGCCGAGGGATCACGCGCCCGCGGCGGGCCATCCTCGGCGTCGGTCTCGCTCCCAGCAGGCGCCGTTGGTCCCGCCGACGGCTGTGCCGTGGCGGGCCGTGGGGATCGAGACCTCGCAACTGCCTCCGAAGTCCACCCGCGGGTGGCCGTGGCTCCGACCTGGCCGCTGGCCGCGGCGGCGTCCTGGGCCGCAGCGTCCCCCGCTGGGGCAGGCGGCGGGCCCCACGAGCTCGACGCTGGGTCCTGGCCGCGGGCCGCGCCAACCTCGCCTGCGGTCGCGGGCTCCTGCCCCACCGCATTCGGCGTGGGGTCCTGGCCCCGACCAGACCTGAGCACTCCTGGTTGGCTGCCGGCGCCGTCGGCGGCTGCCGCGGCTGCCACCGCCGCCGCCGCGATGGCTACGCCTGCTGCCGCACTGGACGGCGCCGCCTTCCTGGCCACTGAGGCGATCTTGGGGACGCACGGGGGCCGATACAGCACCTGCTTCGACTTCTTGGTCGGCGCCGTGCGCAGACACGCCGTGCAGCGCCAGGGGCCTGAACCGAACGTGCCGAACGTGTGGTCGGTGAGGAGGATGCGGTCCTTGTTGGCCTCGTCGCGGGCCACGTAGCCGTGTATGCTATCGAGCCTGTTGGCGGCCGCTGGAGTACCAGCCGTGGCCACCCAGTGCGCAACGCCGCAGCGCCTGTGTACACCACAGTGCTTGCGTGCATCACAGCGGATGTGTACACCGCAGCGACCATGTGCAACACAGCGCCTGTGTACAGCACAATGCTTGCGTGCACCGCGGCGCCTGTGCACACCACAGCGCCTGTATGCAGCACAGCATCCGCGTGCAGCGCAGCGCTGGTGTGCACCACAGCGCCTGCGCGCCCAAGACAAGGAGAAGTAGCATGTAAGTGAGGATTTGCCGCGGACAGCTAAACGCCACGCCGGGGAAGTGTTGATAATATAATGGGACATTTTCCTTCACCCTCCTCCTGCACCTCCACCTCCACCTCCTCCTCTTCCTCCGCCTCCTCCTCCTCCTCCTCCTTCTCCTCCTCCTCCCCCCCATCCTCCCTCGTCCATCCCCCTGTCGTGCGGCTCGGCGCTACAGCGCACGTGCGCATCCCAGCGCGCACCGCAAAATGGTCGATTGAATCAGTCCACTTGGTTCTCGGATGGTCAATTTTCCTGGAGCCTCCAGGACGCGAGGAGATAGGATGATGCGGGAGGAGTTGTAGATTCCAGCGGGGCTCCTTTTTCCAAAGGACTCCTTTTCCCCAGCCATATATAAATAATTGCTTCCCGTGGAATCCACAGGCGCTCCATTCTGTCATACGGACTCCTTCTAACATTCGATATGCAACAGTTGTGCCCTGTTGCACACGGTTGCTGTGGTGCACACAGGCACCGTGGTGTACACAGGCGCCGTAGTGCACGCAGTCATTGTGGTGTACACATGTGCTGTGTTGCACACGGCTGATGTGGTGTACGCAGACGCTGTGGTGTACACAAGCGGTGTGGTGCCCGCAGGCACTGTGGCAAACACTGGCGCTGTGTTGCACGCGGCTGCTGTGGTGTACATAGACTGTGTGCTGTACACAAGCGCTGTGGTGCACGCAGGCACTGTTGTGTACACAGGCGCTGTTGTGCGGATCGCCGCCTACGTGCTGCTGCTACCCGTCCTCGGTCATTCCCAGGCATCCCCCGACGCCACTGGCGCGAAACGTGACGTCCTCGGTCCCGTCCCCCCCACAAATGATGGCCGCCATCGACCCGGAATCCCACCAGCCCTTTGGGCGTGAGTGGTTTAGAGAGCCCGCTCTGTTCTCAACCCCCCTTCTTCCCCTTCGGGGAGGGGTTTACCCCTCCCCCTACCCCCTCCCCCTGGGCCTGGAGAGGTCCCTCCGCGGGTCGCCGGAGGGGTCTTTTTCGACTCCTCGGAGGGCTAAAAAACGACACCCCTCACGAGGATTCTGGCCCCGACGGGGGAGGGAGAAAAGTGCTCCCCCCATCTGTGATCGGTCGCCTGACAGATGGCCCCAAGATTCCTCCCAGACCCCTCCAAGAGGCCTCCAAGAGGCCTCCAAGAGCCCCCAAGAGGCCTCCAAGAGGCCCCCAAGATGCTCCCAAGAGGCCCCCAAGAGGCCCCAAGAGGCTCCCCCGAAGCACCCAAGACGCTCCTGGAAGCCCCTGGAGCCGCCAAGAGGCCCCCAAGACGCCCCAAACCGCCTCCGAGAGGCTCCCAAGAGGCCCCAAGAGGATCCCCCAAGGCACCCCAGACGCTCCTAGAAGCCCCTGGGGCCGCCAAGAGGCCCCCAAGACGCTCCAAAAGGCCTCCAAGAGGCTCCCAAACCGACTCACACCACGACGCGGGCCCCGAACGACTCACACCACGAGGAGCCCGAACGAGTCACACCAGGAGGAGGGGCCCGAACGACTCACACGACGACGAGGGGCCCGAACAACTCACACCACGAGAAGCCCGAACGACTCACACCAGGACGAAGAGCCCGAACGACTCACATCACGAAGAGCCCGAACGATTCACACCAGGAAGAAGGGCCCGAACGACTCACACCAGGACAAGAAACCCCAAACGACTCAAACCACGAGGAGCGCTTTCTCTCCCTCCTCCTCCGCCTCGTCCTTCTCCCGCTCCCACCACAAGGAGGATGTACAAGGAGGCGGGAGGAAGGAGGAACAGGGGAGATATGCGGGGGCAGGCGGAAACACGCCTGAAAAACACGACTGTCGGCATGCTTCGCAAGAGTTGCTGTTTTGAGATGGGCTGGTGGGGATACGCGAAGCGTAAAGAATTTCATATAAAAAGGGCTCCGGCCGCGTCCGCGCGCACGACGACGATGAGCGACGAGCGACGAGCGACGAGCGACGACGACGACGACGACGACGGCGACGACTGCGGACCAGACTCCTATGCGGATCCCTATGCGGACGCCTATGCAGATCCCGATGCGCACGGCGGCAGTGCCCGGGGCGCACTGGGGGCGTTACGTATGGGGGGGGGCGTTACGTGATGGGGGGGGCCAGGGGCTATAATGCCCATTATGCCCAAAGCAATAAAGAAACACGCTCGAACGAAGTTCTTCTTGCGGCACCAGAAGGGCATGGGTGCACAAGGAGGGCTGGAGGAACAGGCGCGGAATGCCCTCAGGAACGGCGAACCCCTTCCGAACCCAAAGCGGTCCTTACTTCAGCGCCTTGGCTGTCTGCGGGGAAACCCAGAAGGTACCGATACCGCTGCTCCCCGGACCTCTCCTGGGGCGCGTTCTGACCAAGATTCCGAGGCGAATCCAGCGGGGGCGACGAGGCCTCCCGGGAGGCCCAGCAAGGCGAAAACGAGGGAAGGGCGGCGGCACGGGTACCCTTTTCTTGAGCAGGGACCGACCGTCCCGGCATTCCTATAGTCCTACCACGAAATGTTCTTAGAACCCAAAAATGTTTTAAGAACAAAAACAATGTTCTCAGCACAATAACCCGAGGTGTTAAACCAAGACTGTCCCAACCAGAAATGTTCTGAGAACATCTCGAGGAAACCACAAATGCTTCTT